TCAGGGGTTTAAAAACAAGCAGCTAGCTAAGTGATAGCTATGATATTCACCTAATGATATTTATAATAGCTGTCTATCGTGTCAGCCAAATCCACCCAGAAGAAACACACATTGTGTGAGCCACGAATTGCAAATAATAAAATCCAAGACAAGATGAGGGAATGTATTAAACCTTAATTTCTGAGCATCCCCACTTGAAATTAGCCTCTGGTCAATGCCCTCTGACCACTGACCAGGGAGGAAAATGGCTTTGCTATCAGACGGAGTGCATTGGAAAGTAGACCAGTGTAGATGGCATTAGGTTAAAATTTAACACATTGCTTGTTCTCCCATTTGGCCCATATTATATTCATTCTAGTTTTCATTGTTGTCTGTGAACTTTTCAAGTAAGGTTTTTCAATATTTTATTTTGTTATTGCTGTTGGTTTTTTTGTTTGTTCTTGTTTTTCTGTGGATGGAACCCAAGGCAGGTAACAAATGAAGCCTTAAGTTGCAATATTGAAGCATCTCCGGGGAAAAATACTGAATGAATCAGGGAAAAAATACTGAATGATTCAGGAAGCATCACAAGAAAATGGAATATGCAGTCCCTATACTCCAAGAGAACTGGGCAGCACTCAGCCATTTCAGAAAGCAGCATATGTTCAAGGACTATTATTAAGGGAACAAGTCCAAGGTGTACTAAAGGCATTGGCAATAAATAAGTTCCTGTGAATTTATAAAAATCCACTGAAGTATTTTAACAACCATTGATACACGGGAAGATCTCACTCATTTATGCTAAGAAATGTGGAAGACTTGGACAACTAACTGAACAAGATCCATATTTATGCTCATTACAAAGCAAGATAGTGCAATAGAATATGGAAATTATCAAATAACACCATTAATATAACACTCAAGTAAAATTTTGTTGAAGATAATTAAAACAAAAAAACATTACAGCAATTCATCAATTAGGAACTACCAGAAATCCAAGCTGAGTTCAGAAGAGGACATGGAACATGTTGTTGACTTACCTTAACAGAAAGTAGAGTGTACAAGACAGATGTTGACTTGTGTTTTATTGACTATACCAAGATTTTCAACTGTGTGGATCATAACCTATGGATAACACTGTGAACAATGGGAATTCCATTGTGTTCATGCAGAAGTCGTACATAGACCAAGAGGCACTCATTAGAACAGAAAACGAGCATATCCTTCTACAGTCTCTACCCACAGCTGAAGCTAATTTTTATATGGCCTCTAAAAAACAACATCAGAAAAAAAGAAAGCTACCTGAGTTTTCATACCTCTACTTAGAGCAGTCACTGGTTTATTTGAATTTAGGATGCAGACCTAAATCTACAGGTTTGCTGACATCATGAAAAGTGTGGCCCCTACCTACCATGCCAGCGTCAGCCCACATCATGGCACCTTCAGACTGTGTGCACTTTAATAACCATTACTAATCTTCATTCCCTTGACTGCCCCATGCCCTTCCTGATACAGATTCTTTGCACATGCTGTTCCCTTTGTCTATTTCTGCTTTGTTTGGTATAACTACTTCCTTTTACCTGTAAGTCTTCAAGTGCTATCTCCTGAATGGATGCTACATCTTGTTTCATTGTTGTCAGGATATATACTGTAATCACTTATTCATACCTTTGTCTCTTCATAGGATGCTGAGTTACTCAAAAAAAAGAAAATTTATCTTTGTATGCTTGAAACAAAACACAGTTTCTGGCATACAAGTCCTTTGAAATTATACTATAAGGAAACAAAATGGCTCATTCAATTACAAGAAAACAATGATCAGTAATAAAATACACGCAATCTTTTATCTTAACTAGGAAGTACATATAATTTTCAAACAACTTTCAAAGAGAGATCTTACAGAAAATAAACATCAACACTTCCTTACTTTCTTTGTTTTTCCCATCGCCTTCAGGATGGAAAGATTTAGGTCTTCAAGTGCTGCTAGTACATTTTCATATTCACCCAAGTGCTGAGAAAAATATTCTGAAAAGTAACAATATTGACATAAATAATTAGATTTAGGTAATCATCAAACAACCAAAAATCAAGTTATTTGCTCCACAATGAACAAAACAAACAAGAAACTATAAATGAAAGTGGGAAAGTTTTCAAGTCAGACTAACTGAGGTATCAAAGCATTCATTTAATAAATTTAAAAAAAAACAGGATTGTTGGCATTATTGTGAAGAAATACTCTTTTCTACAATCAGAAAATAGGAGGGGGTACCCCTCAAAGCCAGAATAGTGCTAGATGGAGCGGAGCTTTCATAGTATACATTTTTTCCTGCTAGGTGAGCATTGAACAGCTTTCTCTGAGTTAGTGCACCCAATGGCGTCTCCTGGGAAGGTTCTCTTTGGTCACAGTGAATTTTTTTCATAAAAGCAATTTCACTCAAACCTCATTGTTTGTGATGGCCAATTTAAGAGAACAGCATGTGGCTGTGAAAATGTGTTTTCTGCTCAGGAAAAAATGCCACAGAAACTGTTGTTATGTTGAATACAGCGTATGATGACAGCCCTGTGGGAAAAACTGAAATGTGAGTGGTTTTTACATTTCAAAAAAGGTGAAATGTTGATTGATGACAAACCTCATTCTGGACATCTGCCAACTTCCTGAATGGACAAACTTGTAGTGCATTTGGAGTTCATTCCACCAGATCAGACTGTTAATCAAGCTTTCTATTTAGAGGTTCTGAAAAGATTGTGTAACAGAAAAGGCCTGATTTGTGCTGGATAGGGAACGGTTTTGTCACCACAACAATGCGCCTGCTCACACAGCCATCTCAGTGTACCAGTTTTGGGCAAAAAAACAGCATGCCACCCTTGCTCCACATATGTTATTCACCTGACCCTGCTCTCTGTGACTTCTTTTTGTTTCCAAGAAGAGGGACATGAAAGGGCAGTGATTTGATGATGTAGAATAGGTGAAGAAGAAAAAAAGAGGAAGGCGCTGCCAGTTATCCAAACATGAGTGTGAAAAATGTTTCCAAGAATGGAATTGCAGGGTTGAAAAATGTATTAAGTGTAATGGAGAGTACTTTGAAGATGATAAGGTTGTTTTGTAAAAAAAATTTTTTTTTGGTAAAAAAATTTAAATACATAGCTTTGGAAAAAAATCTGGGATTTTTTTGTAGTCCCTCATATATCAAGATAGTTTCAATTAACAAAAGATCATTCTCATTAGCATATTATTATAGCTCTCACTAGGGCAGTCATTTTAAAGGGGAAAAATCTACATTTTATTATTTCTCCCGTGAGACATTTCAAGAGCGGAAGCTCTCTTGCAGGTGAAGAATCAGGGATGCTGTTAAATGCAAGAGAAAAGTCTTCTGTGACCCCTGCTGTGATCTAAGCTTTTTCAACAATTTGGATGGAGAAAAGACAGGCTTATCAATTTCTTTAGCTGATTAGAATCAATAATACACTGGGTGTCACAATTAAAACTAATAGGCTACAAACACGGACAAATCCCCAACAAGTACATTGAAGTATAATTCAAATGAATGTCAAACCTCATGTTTACTTGCAAATCAATGATGTGTTTCTAAACTGAGAAAAATCTGGCATAAGAGGAATCTATATATTGAAAATATCTCAAGCTTTCAGTTGCTACAGTTCCAGATGAATTATTTATTGACATTGATATTAATAACAAATGAGTAGTGCCAGTGTCTGATTTATTAGTTAATATACAGACTGCTTTAGAGAAGAAAACAAATACAGGTGAGCAATGAATCACTTCTAGATTGCGGTTGTAAAAATATAGCACACTTCCACATGGATTAAACAAACTACCTATTAGTGCAGAAAGCAAAATACAGTCCTGATTATGCATTTCTTTCACTATTGTGATAAATAGTGTGTGGTAAAAATCTGATCGTGTTTTTATAGGAAAGGTTTAGTTGGAAAATTCATAAGAGAAGCTTCAAATAAAATTGATGAATGCGTCAAAATGAAATCTCAGCTCCTGGTTACCATGTCAGCTTTCTGACAGCCCTGACAAAGACGTCGGACCCGCTCTGTAGCATTACTCAAGGTCAACAGCCCCTGCTAAAAACAAACAAAGAACAACACGGACACAGACACAAACCTCCTCATGAACCAACAATCCGTAGGCAGGACTTTTGAATGTTCAGAAATTGAAAAATCAATATGGGAATAGTGCACATAGTAAGTGAAACAAGCAGAAAGCGTTTTAAAAATACAAATGTGAAGGCTTGTGTAAAGATTAACATGATAATCTTTGTATATACAAAGCCCCATGGAAGGGGTGATTTTAAACGTAAGAAGGTAGAAATGGAAAATAGAAAAATATTTGATGCAAAAAAAGAAATACTAAAAAAGGAAATAAAATCATGTTTTAATATATGCATTTTCATCCGTTAACAAGATGTTTGGCTTAATCGGTGAAGATCTCTGCTAAAAATTCAAGTGTTCTTTCTGCCTTAAAAGCAACATAGGCACACGTGTGAGGCACGTACTGAATGAAGCACGTGAGAAAGACAGTGACTAAAGGCTTTGGAGCTTACACCTAACCCACCGCCATTCATTCAGCCATTTGTTCATTCCAGGTAGCCACGTGGTAAGGAAAAGAGTCATGGGTTACACATGGGGTTGCTAACCACAAGGTTAGCAGTTTGAATCCACCAGTAGCTCCACAGGAGACAATTGGAGCTTTCTGCTTCCATGAAGATTTGCCACCTTGGAAACCTACAGTCAGTTCTACTCTGCTCTATGCACTCACTGTGAGTCAGAGTTGACTTGATGCTAGTGAGTTTGGATTTTGCTTGCTAAGAGTCCTGGGTAGTTCAAATAATGAGTGTGCTTGGCTGTTAATGAGAACTTTAGTAGTTCTAGTCTATCCAGAGGTGCCTTATAAGCAAGACTTGGCAATCTACCTTTGAAAAATCAGCCATGGCCAACTATACAGGGCACCAGTCTATTCTGACAGTAGTCAGAATGGATTTAACAGCAACATTTTTTTTTCAGTCAGGTATTTTATTTGGCACTTGAGATACAAAGATGAAAGACAAACCTTTATTTTAAAGATGCCCTGGTGATGCGATCGTTGAGTATTCAGCTGCTAGCTGAAAGGTTGGTGGTTCAAACATACCAATGCAACTATAAAAGAAAAAATTGGCAATCTTTTGCCATAAAGATATCACTGTAAGAAGCCCAATGGGGGCAGTTCAACTCTGCCAATGGGGGTCACTCCAACTCAAAACCAATATCCCTGACATCAAGTCAATACCAAGTCAAAGTGACCCTGTGGGGCAGGGAAGAACTGTCCCGGTGAGTTTCTGAGACTATACTTTTTTCTTGCCTCTACTGGGTATGACTATAATTTTTTTTAACACGAGTACAAAGCCCCAGTTTTCCCCAGTGGAGTGGCTGGTGGTTTTAAACTTCTGACCTTGTGGTTAGTAGCTCAACTCATAACCACTATGCACCAGGGCTCTTTAATGGGGTCACTAGAAGTCAAAACGTGACAACATCTACCTGCAACACAGTCATGTAGAGGACACAGACATTAAAACAATCAACTAGAATATACATGATCCTCGTTATAAGAGACAAGGTACAATCCAATTGACATCGAGAGCAAGGAATGCCCAATTCTGCTTAGGGAAAGGGAGAACTTCATGGAAGAGCCCTCAACAAGTGCTGACTTAAGTGTTGCTGCATAGTTCTTAAGCTGTTGGGTAATCACAGGGAGGATAGCCCTGTACATAAAGGCATGGAGACAGGTGGCTTCTTGCTGCGATTACAGGAGGATGTGTAATTCAGCATTGGTAGAGCACAAAGGACTGGAAGACCATTGAGAGCAAAAGGCACACGAAAGAAGGACACTAAATCTCATTGGTAAGAGAAGCTGAGTATATTGGAAGCTTCCTTCCTAGGAACTCTCAATTTTAAACTTGTTTCTAGACCAATGATTTGTCCACCTGTATCAGAATCCCCTCAAGCCCCACGGCTCACCATGGGGTCTATGGACCAAATTAAAACCAACCAAATTAAAACCAAACTCACTGCCATCAAGTCAATGCCGACTCATTACCTCCACCCCCACCCGCTGGCTTTCTGAGACTACAGCTTGACAGGAGTAAAAGAAAGCCGAGTCTTTGGCCTGAGGAGCTGCTGGTGGTTTCACACTACCGACCATGTGGGTCACAGCCCAACACATAAGCACTGCACCATCAGGGTTCTCTAGCAGGATCAGCATTGCCTAGGAACTAATTAGAACACAGCAACTCAAGCCCGCCAGACTTACTGAATCAGAACCTGCATTTTAATAAGATCTCAGGTGTTTTTCTTACCTGTTGAGATTGAGAGCACTGCTCTAGGGAATTTGTTAAAAATGCAGATTATTAACAAAAAGTCTCAGACCTATTAATTCTGAGTCCCAGGAGGGAATGAGACCCAGGAGTCACCTTTTATAGGCTCCATGGGAGATTCTGATGCAGATTCAGCGTTGCGGAATGCTAGGTACGATGAGAACTCAGAAAAATAATTGAAGCAAAGACCAACATCCACCAATTTGTGTATTGCAACAATGACACTGGATGCAAGAGCTAAAATGTGGGGAATATTGTAATATTGTGAAGGAAACAAAGAGGATCCGTTGTGAGGAGTAATTTGATTGCCGATGCTAGGCTCACATGCAAAGCCAAGAGTGTAAATGAGGTAGATCATACCAAAGCTTGACATTTCAGCATAGGTCAGCAAACCTTAGATGTGGCAAAGTACAGCAGAAGGTCAGTCATGGCGTCCACAGTGTCTGAGCTGGAGCTGATGCTCCATTCCTGGTATTCTGACTCATGTTTCTCATTTGAATCACAGTCCCAGTGTGAGTCCGAGAACTGTGTCTTGCCCTTAAATTGTGGTCTCGGCATGAGAACCAAAAAGATTCAGATCAATATTGACTTCTTCAGACCTGTACCTTTTCATAAGAGAAGGACTTCTTAGAGAAAAAACCTACTTTG